TTTTTTTTTTTTTTTTTTTTTTTTCCGGGGAAATGGGGTCTGAATCGCTAATCAAAACGCCTGGGAACAGTCTACACATGTCAATTACCGCAGCACAAACGATGCAAGTTTTTTCTATGGGAGAGCGATGCCCAGGTTCGTGAGAAGCAGTCGGTACTTGCCAATTCGAGATCCGAACCCAGTACTCCGAAGAAGTCACCGACCAAGAGCTTCCAAAGAAGTGGAGGGCTCCTCACGCCCACCACTGGTCAGAGGCAAACAGGCTACCCGGGGGAAGGCGCCAATAACACACCCAGCAGAGCCCAAAGGAATCGAAACTTGTCATCCGATGAAGAAGCATACGGTTGGGACGAGAATCTGGAAAATGAAGTGGGTGACCTGATCAATACGCCTGGTCCGATCAGGCAGCCTATATTCTCTCCCGAAACACCGAGAAAGACGCCTCGAACTGCTGTTAATACGTCTCCAAGCAAGAGAAAGGTCCATGAGATTAGTGACGAACCGCCTCCATATTCTGAGATAGACGGCAGTCAATCGATGTTATCGATCTCGCAAACAAACACCATTCCTTCTTCATCGGTAGAGATTTCGGCAACCCCGACTCCACGACGCTATCGAGATGCGCTGTCGGCTCAGTCATCGACAGACAATTCAGAGCTTGCTGCAAGCGTTTTGTCGATACTCGATCGCCATGACGTCGTTCTTCCTACTCAGGCCAGAGACGAAGTGGTAGCCCTTCTTGATCAGCACCATTTGAAATACAAGGGGGTCTTGCGTGGCAGAGACATATCGAGAGTAGGGCTAAAGAACAGAAATGAGGAGATAGCTTTGTTCAAGGAAAGAATCGAGGGTTTAGAAGCTGAACGCGAAATGGACAGGACTACCATTGCGGGGTTAAGGTCTCGTGGTAGTTGAATTGTCAGTTTGCCTCACAAAGCGTCCTCTTTATTATTACACAATTATTTTAACTTGCTAGAGAGTATCGCGTGGATATGAATATTAATGAACTACCCATGAGCCTCATGTCTTATCGTGAAGTCACGTGGAGATAAAAAAAACAACATTCAAGGGTGGCTACCCAATTAACACCCCTCGTTAAACCTTTAATCGAAAATACAAATCTGATAAAATAACTATCGAGTTTTTTAAGGATCTGCCCAGGTTCATCTGCGATCGCCAAGACATTTCTGGTAGCGTCTATCGCTCTGTACAAATCTACAAGATCAACTTTTTCTTTTTTTTTTCCCTTTTTCGTGCACGGATCAACCACCACCACCAGTCAATGGACTCCAACGCCGAGTCCATCCCACGTTCACCTTCTTCCTGCGGCCACTCGTCGACGACCATGTTCCGTCCTCCGGTCAACCGCGCAATGCGCGTTCTTGACAGATCCTTTTTCAAGAAGAGCGTCCCAATTTCGGCAGCAACAATTCTCGAGACGAAGAACATCTCGCAAGTGCGCAAAAGGCTGAGCGCAAGCAACGACCTCCTCGATCTCCCACGATACAGTGTCTGCACGGTTCCAAACCCGGGCCCATTGATTGTTGGGAATGGCCAGTTGCTTGATCTCAGCAGTACTGAGCTTCAGAAGAAAAAATGTCTCCTATTACGGGAGAATGTCAAACATGACGGTAGGCAACACCTTGCGATCAACATGTTTACTTGCCACACGGACTCATTGAGGTTGGTGAATAGACACGGCTACCTGGTCTCCCACAATCGGCGAACTTGTGAATGAGGGCTTGGTGGGACTAGGCCCCTACATGGTGGAACTAGACTACAACTATTGGAACTTTTCGGATATTATAAATGCAATCCTGCCAGAGGAGGAGGCGAAAACAGGAGAATCGCCCGAGGGGTTCACGCAGACTGGACACGTCTGTAAGTGTTTGCAGATCGACTAATGGTATATATAAATCTCTAACGGCTGGCAGTGCACCTGAACTTGCGCGAACGATGGCACCCGTATAAACATATTATTGCCGAGATTTTGATGGATAAGAACTCTGGCGCTAAAACGGTTATCAACAAGACAGAAAGCGTTGGCACCGTAAGCGAATTCCGCACGTTTCCGTTTGAAGTGCTTGCGGGCGAGAATGACCTGAACGTGGTCGTTCGCGAGCAAGGATGTGTATTCCACTTCGACTTTGCGCGTGTCTACTGGAACAGCCGTTTAGAAACAGAACACCGCCGGTTGGTCAACAAATTCAAACCGGGCGAGCTGGTATGCGATGTTATGGCGGGAGTCGGTCCATTTGCCATTCCTGCAGGCAAAAAGAAGATCTTCGTCTGGGGTAACGATCTCAACCCGTACGGATTTGAGGTTATGGAGGATTCCATTGTGCGCAATCATGTGGAGAGTTTTGTGAATGCGTTTAATATGGATGGCCGAGCGTTCATTCGAGAAACGAGCAAAATGATGCAGGGCCCCACGCACAAGGCGATTGTCAGGCCCAAAATTCACCGAAGCCAGTTGGAAAAGGGAGAGACACTTCCTCAACCCCAGGTTTACGTCCGCCCCCCCACGGTCGATCACTTTGTCATGAATCTTCCTGCAACAGCTATCGAGTTCCTCGACGCCTACGTCGGGGTCTACCACGGGCTAGAACGCCTATTCCAACCACATACAGACAGAAAACTACCCATGATTCATGTCTACTGCTTTTCGGGACACTCAGATGACGAGCGTATCGACCATATAGATATTTGCGAGCGCATCTCGGAGCGTATTGGATTCACACTGACGCCGGACGATACAGTCGACGGCTCTGGTAATGCTGCACGAGAGTTGGCAATCCACAACGTGAGGCTGGTCAGTCCTCAAAAGCAAATGTTCTGCGCCAGCTTCCGTCTACCTGAAGAGGTGGCTTTTAGGAAGGTTTAAAAGCTGTTATTAATATACTTGCATGAGGCGGCGTTGTTTAGATGTACAGCAAATCAATTGATACCCTTTTGATAAAAATAGAAAAATAAATAGTAAAACACGTAATTTTTGACCATTAAAGATTGTTTTTAAATAAAATTTTCTAAAAAAAGAAAGAAAGCAGGTCGGGTTCATGTTTGACGTGTCGAAGCTGATACGGCAGGCCAAGCCCGCCGACAATGAAGTTCGCAGCTCCTCGAATTCTCCCCGCATGGCTGATTTTCACCAACCACCAACGCGACAACTCGCGACAAACCACGACAAATCATCGTATATCAAAACCAATACCACTCAAACCTGCCGAGCGCAACCATACTCTCGTCGAGCTATCTAGGAATCCTAGCCCATCCATCAAACGCACACTACCAGCAGTCGCATCATCAACAGAAAAACTCGAAATGAGCGGCGTCAAACTCCCTCCCCCGACCCATCGAAAGCGCGTTCTGCCCCAGGCCGATCTAGAGGCTGCGTCGACTTTGAAACTCGGTCAGGATCAGAACACGCATACGCTGTCGCTAAGCGAGGCGCGACTGGTTATTAACAAGGTGTTGGAGAACAAACGACGGGGAGGGAAGAAATATGACGAGCCAGAGTATGCGCCACCTTACTTTCTCATGGGGATTTCTTTTTCCTTCGACGCTTTATAGAGACAGGAGGGAACTGACAGGAGTTTATTTTGTAGGAACTTGACCAAAACTCTGGACTATCTCGAGGTATTTTCTCGATTCAAAGACGAAGAAAATATCAAGGCGGTCGAACGACTGCTCAATTCACACACTGAATTAGAAATGTTTGAGAGGTCGCAGCTTGGTTAGTGAGCCCCCGATTTTAGTTACCATGGAATCAGCATTGCTGATGAAAACCGAACTGCAGGCAGTTTGTGCTGCGACAACGCAGAGGAAGCCAAGTCGTTGATTCCTAGCTTGCAAACAAAGATATCAGACAACGAGCTGCAAGAGCTGCTCGATGAGTTGACCAAGTTGCGCAATTTTGTTGAGTGATTCGAAAATATTCAAACAGATCTGAAAATTAGGTGCCTTTCAAATTATGAAACCATTCTCTGCCAGCTTTCTTTGTTGGATAAGTATGGTTTGTGATATATACATTCCGTGGTAATGTGCATTTGTCAGCGTGGGTGTTTGGGGATAATTTTTTTGCATGGGTATAATACGTACATAGATGTGAGTGATTTATAGTAATTGATGTCCTTGGTTTGCTATGAGTGGTGCTTCAAAAAGAAAGTCTACGTATTGTGATATGAACTCGAGTAAAGTTAGATTCTCTAGCTAAAAGGTTACAACGAGAATACAAATATTTCAAAGATAGATGAACAGTCTAACTCATTCAGTCGAGACAAATTATCTAGAGAACTATAATAGAGAGGGACAGGACGTAGAAGCCTTACCACGTTGGGACTAGCCCCTGATTGTCGATAAGCGTATACATTGATAGAGATGGAC